TCTCCCTTCAGCCATCGAGGGCTAGGCACAGGGCTGCTCTCTGCACACTCACTCCGTGCCCTGGCCTCGTTAGCCCTCCTTTGTGTTAATCAGAGGATAAAGCCTGTTTTCCACTTGCCTCACTAGCAAGGGGCCAGGGGCAGGGAGGAAAGCGCTGGAGTTCCCTGAGTAGACTGAGGATCTACTGAGTCTACTCAGGACCAGCACACGTCCTCTCGGGACTGGTTTTTCTGTGGAATTCAAATGGGGACAAAATGGGAATCTTAGTTATGTTTTGTTTTGTTTCGTCTATTTCTTACAGCTTTACAGAATATGTGTTAGTTACAGTATTCAGCATGCTCATGTGCTAGCCATGAAAACACTTACTTTATAGGAAATATTATAACCCAGAGAAAATTAGCCTAATGTACTGATTTCTATGGTGTTAATTTAAATTAAGATACTCTCAGTGGGAGGAGAATCATTATTTTCCATGAAATGTTCAGTGTATCAATTTCCAGAGATATTCCTAAGTTTGCTATTTGTTCACTTTCACAGTCTGTGAATATATTAACTAAATTTGTAAACATTTTGGGTGGGAAGCAGAAAGATTTGCTGAAAACGTTTCAGAAGCCATGCCCTGGATTTTAACCACGGGACTTCAACATCTACATGACTCAGCAACCAGAAGCCACTAGAGCAGACAAGGGTGACATGTCCAGGAGGCCACTGAGGGTGGAAGAGTGAGTCTTTCCTGTCAGTCTTTAGAAGTCTGCAGGAAGAACCAGTCACTGCCAGGTGCTCTGAGCCTCAGAACAGCCTGAGGGGTGGTGGCCACAGGCTGGCACTGTGAATTCAGGCAGACCTTTGCACATGACCTGAATTAGCCTTTACATCCTAGCAGCACCTTGACCAAGTGAATTCCCTGGGACCTCAGGCCCTTAGTGTATACAAGTGCAAGATGGCTAATGCTCTCCCCAGGGTTAGTTGAGAATAGAGACATGCAAGTGCCTGGCAGTGTGCTGAGCGCCCAGCAGACTCCATAAACGATGGCGAGAAAGCTCACCAGGCACTGCGTACTACGGGGTAAAAATGGTGATGCCTCAGACTTTGGCCTCTGTGACCTGAAACCCCAGCCACAGCCCTTCCTGGGATCTCCTGGCTTAGGGTTCAGTATGTTTTCAAAAACAAGATCCTTGGAAGTGAACTGTCTGTTATAGTTTAGATGTTTAACCATTTCATGTGTTAGCCATAAATTAAGGCCACAAGTTCAGTTTTCTGTGTAGTGCTCTTCACTTTAATTGACACTCACTGTCTTAGCAGGAAAGTGCCCAGCCCAGCGTAAGCTAGCACTTGACTTGTTTTACCTCAGCAAACAGTAGAGCAGGAGCAGCAAGCAGGAGAGTGTCTCTTCAGTGACTGCTTCGTGGCCCAGAGGGATTGGGGGGAATCTGCTCTGCTCTATACTTGTGACTCAGGCCCTTGTCAGGGTATAGACAGAGATCACACATCCTCACTTCTCCTTCTGGGCCATACATTTGTAATTTTGTGCTTAAATGTGTTTACATGATTGCAACAGAGCACTGTTCAAATCCATGCTAATACCGCAGAGAAGCAAATGCAGTGCTTTCTGGCCTTCTTCCTGCTCAGGGTTATTTCTACAACTACAACCCTACATGAAGTTAGATAACTTTGAGGAGACCATAGTAATCTCCCTCACCTCTCTAAGCAAGATGTGAGTTGGTATTCTTCCTTGAGCCATTCAATTCCATTAGCTTACACCAGAGGGAAGCTACAGTTTCAGTATGGGAACATTATGTTTAAGGCATAGTATGTGGCAAACACAATCCAGATGTTTGGTTGTACATAGGAAATCATTTCTCACAGCATCCCTGTCACAGTCCCTACTTTATATCTGAGGACATAAAGGCAAATGCCATGGGTTAAACAGCAGGGCCAGACTTGGGCTCAGTTCTGAGTCTAATGCCTGTGCTACCACATCATTGAACAAAATTCCAGCCAAAATCTGTAAGGAGGAACCAAGTGAGGAATGAGGAATCAAATGAAGTCATGTAGAGTATGATTTTCCTAAGTAGACAGCTCCCCTTCCAAGGTAATCCCATCCCTGCTTTGGCAAAACGGCTGCTTGGATAACATCAGTGGGTACGTGTATGGTTTGGAGTATAGGCCCTGGCAAATGCAGCCAAAGTGCATTTAAAACGGCCTTCCACCCATCCCTGTAGCAATGTGGGGAGGGAGTAGACCTTGGAGAACTAGATACCAGCTACTGTACCAAGTATTCATGGCACCTAGTGACAGGATGTGGGCTGGTGGGTGCAGAGCCAAGACTGTTCCTTTCAGTGTTGACTCATGGTGTCCTTGACCTCAGAGACCACCCATCAAACCTCACACTGCCTGCAAGGGAAAGGGGCTGTGCTTCAGCAACGCGCCCAGTATTCCCCCATTGGTGGGGAAGAGAACTGAGATGCCAGAGAAATTCGCCCCATTGATTGGACTGTTTTACCACCGCTCTAAGATTATTAGAAAAAATAATTCTGGAAATTGGCTGCCACGTCAATGCCATTTAAGAAGATTACTAGGCCGGGCGGTGGTGGCGCACGCCTTTAATCCCAGCACTCGGGAGGCAGAGCCAGGCGGATCTCTGTGAGTTCGAGGCCAGCCTGGGCTACCAAGTGAGTCCCAGGAAAGGCGCAAAGCTACACAGAGAAACCCTGTCTCGAAAAACCAAAAAAAAAAAAAAAAAAAAAAAAAAGAAGATTACTAGGTACTTTATGTATTTCCAGAAAAGTAAAAAAGAAAAAAAATCATCCATTTTTGCCAACTTTATTTTTAGAAAAGTATTTTATTCAAACATCTCCTTACTTATTACAGACATAAATACATGCATTCAGACAAATGAATACACGAGAGGACCGTATAAAGTAATTGGCACATCACTCCAGGATGCTTTGTCAGTTACTGGAAGAATTTGGTGCCTCTAACTTTAATCTTCTCCATGAAAATATCCATTCTGCTTCAGATTGTGAAGCCCATAATATTTTAGACTGTCTCCGTGGATCTGTTAGTTTTGCTTGTCAATTTAATTTGTGCTCTATGACTTTGGGTGGCTTGCTAGATTGTTCATGGGAACTTGTAATCTACAAAGGATGCCCAGCATGGAGTTCTAGCCTGGAGTTCAGCATGCCAGGCATGGAGTTCTAGCCCCTCCGGAGAGCCTGGACGTGCAGTGTTTGTGTTTCTATATAGATTGGCAGATTTCGTTTGTAACCAGCCTGATCTTTGTGATGGTGGAGGGGATGGCGGCTGGCAGAGCTGCAGAGCTGCACATTACTGTCGGGATGCTGTGCCTGCAGTGTCTATAGCATGTGTGCTTTGCAACAGTCTTCAAACACCACCACATTTAATTCTCAGAGCTTCCTTGGGCTGGATTATTTCCCTCTTCAGAGCTAATGAAAACAGACACAGCAAGAGCAGTTCAGTTACTTGCTGGAGATTATAGGATAAATTAGATCACCAAAAACTTTTGCCAGGGGCAGGGAGATGGCCCAGTAGGTAAGCACTTGTGCAGACACGGGGGCCAGAGCTCAGACCCCTAGCACCTGCATGAATGCGTAAGTGCTGAGTGTGGTGGCCTGCCTGCCTCTAACTCCAGGACTTGGGAGGCAGGCAAGCTGACCAGCCAGATTGGCAGTACCTTCAAGCTGTGGGTTCAGTAATAATGAACTTACTGCTTCAACAAATGATATGGAGAGTTTGAGGAAGATACCCAACTTCACCCTCACATAGTACACATATAAATACTCACGCACACGCATTACACATATATTCTTATGCAAAAAGGAGGTTGCCAAACGATAACACCAAATGCATTCAACGCAAACCAAGTCATCAAAGCCTAGTTGGGGTGGTGTTTGTGGGGCTTGCCGGGTAATTGCCCTTTCATCTGTCCTCCCTGGGCAGGAGAGCTTGAGCTCTGGGAGCAGACAGGCTGCTGCAGTGGAAGAACTGAGCCCACTTCCTGGCATTTGCCTGGACTGGTGTAGTGGCCTTACCCCTGGCCTGTTGTGTCTCCTGGCCAGCACACTCCACATGTCTCCCCTTGGTCACAAGCCCGTCGCTAGCCACCGAGCCTTCAGGATGAAGTCCAGACTCCTCAGCATGGTCTTCCATTCTAGCCACGGGGTCCCTTACTCTTGCCGAGCCCACCATGTCCATTCCCACCTTCCTTTTACCCCTTTGTCTGCTTATGAGGAACCCCTTAGCTGTTACCTGCCCCATGGCACCTCCCTGACTGCCCTTGAACAACTTAGAGACATTCTTTCCCCCTCCACAGGCTGCTGCTCTTTTCCTAGATCTTTTTCCCACTGTTTCTCTCGGTGACTTCCCTAGAAGCTTTGAGGTCCTAGATAAGAAGAGACTGGTAGATGCCTATGTCCTGTTATCTCTTCCATGGGCCTTATAAACTCGGAAGCGAAGAGCCTGGATAAGTATGTACATGTAGCGTTGAGTGAGTAATGAAGAATGGTTTGAAAAACAACATGTTTCCTGAGCTAGCAGGAAACATGCCATTCTGGGGTCACATGGAAAGTGTTTTATTCCACTCAGTGATGAGCTACAGAGAGATGTCCCTTCATAGCATGAACTGTTCAATGAGGTGAGGAGCAGACAGGAAGGTGAGCTGGGCATTTGCGTGGTGCCTAGCGTAGAGCAAAGCATATAAGGCTTGAAAAGCAGAGACTGAACCCCCTGGCTCTGGCCTCTGAATTCTGCTCACCAAGAAGGTTCTCACCAAGCTTTTGGTGGTAGACTCTTCCTCGGGGGAAGAGAGGATTTGCCCAGAGTTTGCATAGCCTTCTAGGCTTCCAGCGTGAGAGCCGACTGTCCAGGAAAAGCCCTCTTGTCATCAGGCAGTGGAAGGGTGGAAGGAGCACATAGGAGGAGTCTGGATTCAAGCAGCTCTAAGCCAAGGGTCCCAATTTTCATGTGACTCTGTCTTCTAGATGATGTCTGTCCTTATGAACACCATTGTCTTTGAAGACTGTCGGAACCAGTGGTCAGTATCCAGGCCTCTCCTGGGGCTCATCCTGCTCAATGAGAAGGTGAGTGTGCTTTCAGGAAGGGCCGCAGGAGGAGGGAGAGGCTCTTAGACACTGAAGACCACAGGATGGGTCTTGACAACCTGGAAGGCCTTTCCCCAAAGGCTGACTCAGGTCTTCTTGAGTTAGCAGAGGCCACAGAGGCCCACACTGCACTGGCTGTGGGGATTGTTTGGCAGTATTTCAAAGTCACTTCACTTCCCTTGCCATTCCAGGGGAATTCTGAGCAACAGTCCTTTTGCCTTCTCCTCCAGCCTCCCTTTATATCTGGGGACCCCAGACACGATCCACAGGAGATGGCAGCAGCAGCCCTTGAGGGATCATGCATAGGGCCAGTATCCTTCATCCGGGGAGCATGCACCTCGGTCTCCTCAGTGTTCTGGCCACCCGACCGCCTCCCAAGCACCCTGGCTTCCTTTGGAACTTGCCCTGGCCTCTCAGCAGTCAGTAGGAACAGTGCATTACTGCTTGGAAGAATGAATTGTCTATACAATAAGATAGTACTGGGAAAAAGACAGTGAGATTAGAGGCAGCCGCATACATTAAAATTCAAACTAAAATCCCAGCCTTGGAAGGAAACTAATAGAAGAAGAAAATATATCAAAAAGAGAAGAGCTGTCTCATCATTCACCTGTGCTGAAGTATCCAATTTTAGCCACATTCAATAGCACTGCCATTCATCTTCCCTCGGTGTTATTGGGATTTAAACCCAAGCTCTATGAAAGAGAGCAGTGCTTTTAAAATGATTGAGAGGGAATAAGGGCAAATTCGGTGTTTAGAAAAAGCTTATGACATCACAATATTATACTTTACTGATGGAGGCAATATTTCATGGTTTAGGATGAAAAACTAATAATTTTCTATTTGGTGTGAGTCACTGCATCATTATAAAAGGGAAAAATAAGTCGTTTTGTGCATTCCCAGTCTTGTTCAGGAAGACATTGTGGTTTAAGTATAATGCCTCTGATATATAGTATTTAAGTATTAGTCTGACTACATATTAATTATGTGTGTTTTTTGATATGAGCTGTTTTAATGTATGATGGAAATTAAATATCATACAGCTTAGACTTGAAGAGATAAACAAATGACTGGCAAGATGTTGTCTTTTGCCGAGAATCGGCTGTTTCCAGTGATTAGGAGCACTGCTCAACATCAGAGCTTATTTTTGTATACAAGACCACAGACCCCAGCAGAAAGAGGTGGGGGGCTGAGCAGTTATTTGTGACCAGGTATGACAGATACTATTCATAGTGCCAGAAAGTGCTTCCAGAACTAAGTAGGCCCCTCTAGTGCCTGCCTCAGCAGAGCAGACCCATGTAACCCAGAAGGACAAAGTTGGAACACAGCCCAGAGCTCTTTGAGAAGTGATTCACTGAAGCCAGGAAAGATGATGAGGCCGAAGGGGAGACCCATGGCTGGGCCTTCAGTCATCCCAAGTGTTCCCTGGGCATTAAGTTAAGTCCTCCTCAGCCTGGGGCCCTTCTTCTTTCAGCCTTCCTGGGACAAGTAGAATTGAGACCCCAGAAGGCCAGGTTCAGTCTCCCACAGAGGAGGCAAAGACTCCATCAGGCTAAGTAGGGCCAATACAGCAGTCACAGGCAAGAGACTCTAAGAGCAGGGGTGATGCAAGGTACACCTAGAAATGCTTCTGCAGCTTAAGTTTTCTCTAAGGATAGAAAGTTCAGTATGGACCTGGATGAAAACCCCTGAGCATCAGTGAGCGCAGGTAGACCCCAGCTGGACTGGTCTCTTGCAAAGGTTTGGAGTTGGGACCTGACCCTGACACTGATCTGTCTCCCAACAGTATTTCAGTGAACTGAGAGCAAGTCTGATAAACAGCCAGCCTCTCCCCAAGCAGGAAGTCGTTGCCCAGTGCTTCAGGAACTTGATGGAAGGAGTGGAACAGAACCTGTCTGTCAAGAACAGAGACAGGTGAGCATTGCCCAGTGGGGCATCTCTAGGGGCATTCAGACTTGCTGAAAATAATCGAATTGTAGTTAGCACAGCTCACAGATTGATGCACCTTTTCCGTTACACCTTGTGATCTTAGACCCAGGTCAGTTCCAGTCACTACATTTTGCTGGGTATTTGCTCATAGATGCCAAGATTTTAAAAATACAGCCTTTGCCCTTAAGCAGTTTATAATCCAACAGGAAAGAAGTGAAAAATAATTAATTGGAAAGAGCAAATGAAGGGGAGCTCACATTGTCCATGGAGTTGAGGAAAGACTTCTGGCCTTTGAACAAGCACAGGCCTCAAGGGTGGACAGACCCCAGTTAAATGTTATCCCTGCATCTGTAAGCTGTGTGACAGAAAAGCAGCCACTTCTCTGCTGCTCTCTTCCACAGTAAGAAGGAGCTGGTGACGCATTGGCTGTAGTGCTTAGACAACAGACTGTCGTAAAGCACGGCTCTTCCTGCTAAGTGTTGGTTTCCTCCTCTGCCTGCCCTTTAAGAGTACCGATGGCGGCCAGGCGGTGGTGGTGCACACCTTTAATCCCAGCACTCGGGAGGCAGAGCCAGGCGGATCTCTGTGAGTTCGAGGCCAGCCTGGACTACCAAGTGAGTTCCAGGAAAGGTGCAAAGCTACACAGAGAAACCCTGCCTCGAAAAACAAAAAGGAAAAAAAAGAGTACCGATGGCATTGGCCAGTGAGATCTAACCAAACTCATCACTATGAATGAATCATTCATTCAGTTTATAAAACTGTAGGCATTTGGAACCCATGGTAAACAAATTGTTCCAAGTCCCTGGCTTCATGGAATTTACATCCTAGAGGATGGGACAGACAGTAGTCACTGATAAGGAAGAAAATGTGCTCAGGGAGAAGCTACCCCGCTGACCTTTCATCAAACACTATAGCATTTGTAGGACACACTGTCAATGTGGCCAGGTATGAGCTGTGGTAATAAAGCAAGGTCAGCTGGGGGTGCAGACACCTTCTCCTGGCCGTTCATTGAAGTCTCAAGTAATCCTCTGCCATCCAGAAAGGGACAAGCTCAGACACTGGAAAGGAAAGGCGGCTGTTGAAGTAGCGTCCCTGAGCTGCTCTGTGCAGGGGTGCAGCCATCCTCTCAGTCTTGTGAAGGAGAGGCCACACAGACCGGCTGTCGTCCACATGCCAGCACTGTGTTGAGACACTTTCAGGCATTGTCTCTTTGCCTTGATCAGAGTCGCTCCTGCATTCCCTCAAGACAGTAGTTATTCACATTAGGTACCATGACAAGTGGTTATTCATTCAGGCTGCCTAACTGGTAGTGGTGAACCAAAATTTGGACCCAGGTGGTCTAACCCAGTGCCTCTTGTTAGGTTTTTTAACAGTGTTATATAGCCTAGGCTGGTCTCAAACTCAATATATAGAAAAGGATCATTTTTTATTATTGCATTTATTTGGGGTTGGGCGTATCAGAGAACAGCTTGGCAGGAGTTGGGTCTCAGAGACCTAACTCAGGTCATCAGGCTTGACAACACCACCGACTCCAAGGATAACTAAATTTCTGATCCTCCATTTCCTAAGTGCTGGGATTACAGGCCACTGTGCCCAGTGTATGTAGTTCTGGGAGTCACACTGCCTAGTACGCAAGTATTCCACCAACTGAGCGTGTGCACACACCCACCCACTGCACGCTTGTACTCTTTTCACCACAATAGTGCCAGCTCGCCTCAGACTGAAACTCATGACCCTCTACCTCTGCTTTCTGACTGCTGGCTTCACAGACTTTCCACACAGCCACCACTTTCCACTGCCGCCTCCTCATTTTCCATTCACTAAATTGGGTTTTAGTGAAGGTTCTAATACCCACCTTTGGGAAGATGAGTAATGATTAAAGTAGTCATATGTAAGCTCAATCTAGTATTTGAGACATAGTGTAAAAAATGTGTTCATGTTTTGGATAGTAGAGCTTCAGATGCTCCCTCTCCCTAAACTGTTGAGAATGGATTTGGTGGGGACTCTTGTTTCAGGGGGTGGGGATGGCGCTGGTAGCAGGAGAGTGGTGGCAAAGTGGGCGCCCAGCTCTGAGGAGCCTCCCTGCAGGAGGGTCCTGGGTCCTGAGCTCCACGGGGCCCTTCCTCCAGCTTTCACATGGCCTGCACCCTCACTGCTTCTCTTCCCACAGGTTCACACAGAACCTCTCCGTCTTCAGAAGAGATGTGGCAGAGGCCCTGCGTAGTGATGGCAGCACTGAACTATGCAGCTTGGACATGATGAGCTGACCCAGCTCCTGAGCACGTTCTGTGTTCCTTTGTCAAGAGACTCTGGAAGGCCTGGGGCCCAGACTGCGATGCTGACCAGCCCAGAAGAGTGTATTTTTCAGAACAAGCAACAAAAGCCCTACATTTTTATAAGTCTGACCTAATTATAAAAATTTATAATAGTGCACATACAGTGTAAATTCAGTATTCAAAGCAGAACATGTTTTCAGTCTTATCTGGGTTCCCACAATGCCGAAAGGTCCAGAAACTATATTTAACCAAAGAACATAATAAACCAGGCTAGCACCTAGTTCATGGCTCTGAGATCAAGGTTGATTTGAAGATTCAGCCCTCAGTGTGGGTCCTGAATTGAGACAAATGCCATTTGAACCTGTTGGATTAGTAGTTTTTACATCTGGAAAATGCCACATTAGGGACTCTGGGCTGTGGGCATTTAGAAGGAGCCTGGGAGTGCTATAAAGCATCCCCAGGACTGCACATAGGCCTCTCTGCCTCAGCAACATCTGATAAAGTTGAGAGACAGTAACACAATTAAACGACTTACAAACAATGTTTGCTCTCCACTGGCATAAATCTGAAGTGGTTCAGTCTGGAAGAATTAAGCTGTGCGGTTGCTGCCTGCAGAGAGATGTCCTTAGGATTCTGGAAGCCCCAGGAAGAAGTTCTGGATGCACCAGTACCTAGCTAGTCCTTTTGACTCCATTTAATTGGAAGAGAAGCTGACGGTGGCATGTAGTGTTGGAAGCAGCCCTGCCTTCTTGGACCACCCAGAGCAGTTCAGGTTCTGGCTGTCGGGTTCCCAGAGGATGGAGTAGCCGCCGTCCATCCTCCACACTCTTAACCACTGTTGGATTGTGACTTCATCCAAACACAGGAAATGAAGGCCTTTACAGTTTGTGACCCGTCATAACTAAGCTATTCATTTGAAACTGCCACTGTGAAACGGGCTTCCTATCTCACTGCTGTCCTCGTGGTTCAGGCTTACAGTAAACACTGTGCCCATTATTTCTGATAAGACATGAAAGCTTGGCCTCCCTGTTGCAGGGAAGAAATCCACAGACTCTTGTTGTAATCTCGTTTCTCAGACTAGTGTTTCTTCAAATGTTTCCTGATAGTTGAGTTTTGCAACAGGCTTGTCATATAAAATTGAGCCACCTAAGTTTATCTCAAAGTGATTGTCTTCCATGTGCAAAAGGGAGTCAGGGGAAATTATGGTCTGGATGAGACTGCTTGTGGTGTTTAATGGCAGATGAGCCTGAACCTTACTCCACCCCACTCCGTTAGGAAATATAACTTCCTAGAGAAGACAAATCCTGTACTTTGAAACATCAGCTTTCAAAGGAGCTTGACAAGAATTTCACTTTGGTTTTTGTTTGGTTTTTAACTTGTTTAGTTTTGGTTTTTTTTTTTGAGACAGAGCCTTGCTGTGTAGCCCAGGCTAGCCTGGAGCATACTGTGACTCTCCTGCTACAGTCTCCTCAGTGAAGTTGACCAGCATGGGCCACAATGCCTGGCATCTTGGATTTGGGGTGTTTGGGGCAGGGTGGTTATAACTGAACTCATTCTACAAAAACTACAAATGCTTATCCCATTCCAGTGCTGTTTCTTCACAAATGCCCAGGGTCTAGAAACACTATACTGTTTGCATTAAAATGTTCACAAGAAGAGGATGGCGCGTTTCCCCTTTCTTTGCCACACAGCCAGGTATCACCTGAGAGTTCCAGCAGGTGGAGAGCCTCTTTCATGCTTGGCCTTAGAAAGCTGCTTTTTGAGACGCAGGGTCCGCCTCTGCCCTTGTGCCTCAGTGGACTTGAATGCTTGACTCACAGAGCACTCTGTAAGCAGCCCACTTGGAGAAGAGTCAGCAAGCATGGACTGCCTACTTACCCACACTACCTCCCTTCTCACTGTGCACATTAGGAAGGAAGGCCCAGAGATGCCTACAGCTACACCTACCCATCTACATCCAGAGTGAGACCCTGCACCGTGTAGTAATTTGAACAGCCCAGAAGAGCCCTCTTGGCTCCCTGGAGTCCCTTCCACTGGCATGACAGCCTACACATACCTTGGGGTTGTGGTCATGGGAACCCCTTCCAAAATGCAAAGCTGGGCTGGCTGATAGCAGCTAACTGAGAAGACCAAATTGTCCAAGTGCCAGTGAAGCTAAGCATCACACTAGAGCAGGATGGTAAGGAAAACTAAAAAGAGTAAATGACCTGTCACACTGCCCAGATGTAGCCAGGCTGGTACTTAGGAAGAAGCACTTGAGAGCCACAAGCATTTATGGAGCCCATGGAGAGAGAAGTAGGACTTGGGGTGTGGCTCTGAGGGAGCAGGTACAGGGCCCTGGGTTTCATCCTAGCACCAGAGTGAGCAGGAGCAGAGCGAGAGTAGGAAGGAGCCATTTCAAGAGAATTAGAACCACTGTACTATACCTGCTGGACCTAGCTTCCCATTAAGAATGTTTAGTATTTTCCCTGTTTGAGAGATGAGAAAACAGACTGAGAAATAAGAAAAGGCCACATAGCCGGGCGGTGGTGGAACACACCTTTAATCCCAGCACTTGGGAGGCAGAGGCAGGTAGATCTCTGAGTTCCAGGCCAGCCTGATCTACAGAGTTCCAGGACAGCCAGGGATACACAGAGAAACCCTGTCTCAAACCCCCCCCCAAGAAAAGGCCACATAGCTAGACCCCCCCACTTAGTCCAAGAGTTCTGGTAAGAGGTGAAGGGAGAGTGGGCTTCACAGTCCACACAATCAAGGCATGTCCTAACTAGCCCTCCACGGCTGCATGTTGTTGGTCAAGACCTCTTCCCTGAAGCAGTTGCCCTTCAAGTCTCATGGCCTCGAGCAGAACCCATTGCCTGCGGCCATTTTTTTTCCCTCCACCTGGCATCCTGAGCCAGGAATCAAAGTTAGGTTTCCTAACTGTACCTGTATTTTTTTTTTCTACTTAATCCCAAATTGGGTCCTCTGTGGCTGGTACTGAAGAGGCTATCAAGGGACCCTTTGGGCGCCCCAACCAGTGGGACCAGATACCTCCGGGAGGAAAGCCAGCCTAATGAGACACTTGGAGCTGTGTCGGTGAGCTCTGCCATTAATTCACCCTCCTGCTGTACTTCATAAAATCGTTCTTGAGACTTTTTAATGTTTTATTGAGGTGCAAGTTTACGAGGAAGTGAACCTTTCCAACTACAGCAAGAGTAACCTGCCTCCTTGGCATATTAAAAAATAATGTTAGTGTCGGGTTTTACGTCCCACAGTTTGGATTGCTGATAAGAGCGCTTCCCTTGACAAGATTCTTTTTGAGGTTTACAGAAAGCGTAATAAAATATGTAAGTTACATCTCCACAAACAAAAGCTATAACATAAGTTATTTATAAGCGTGAGATACAAACAGTATCACGATAAATAAGCCATAAAGGGTACCTGCACCATCCATCTTAATGTAATTTGCCCAACAAAGGGGTTGAAACGAAGTCAAATTCAGTAGAGAAAATTTGTCAGGAAGGAAGCAAAGTTGTAGAACACAAAATGGGGGAAATGGCTGGTGGGTGAGGGACAGAAATGGATGTGAGGTGAGGCTTGGAGGTCCCTGAATGAGTGCAGCATATGCTTGCCCAAAGGACTGTCCCAGCCCTCCCCACCACACAGCCTGCCATCTGTACCTAGTCCCAGCTCCAACGCCCTTCAGCACCAAACAGCCCCTGGGAAAGGAATATCCTAGTCCCTTCCCTCTGGCCCTGTGGCCTCACACTACTGCCGCTCCCTTCTGGGATTAGCCCACTCAAGCCCATGGTCTGAAACTGACCAAGCCCCAGGTCCTAGGAGCCCTTCATCTGCTCCAGTGGTTTTCATCCTGTGGGTCATGTAAACTTTGGGAAACCTCTATCTTCCCAAAAAAAAAAAAAAATACATTACAATTCATAACAGTAGCAAACTTACAGTTAAGAAGTAGCAACGAAAGTAATTTTGTGTTTGGGAGGTCACCACAGCATGAGGAACTGTATTAAAGGGTCGCAGCGTTAGGAAGGCTGAGAACCACTGATCTCCTTTACTCATCCACGAATGAGACCAAGTCTCTGCCCTCACGGAGCTGGTGGGTTCCATCGCCAAGTCAGCTGCAGCACAGTCCAGTGAGGACCGGAAACTGGGAGAGAGAAAGAAGGTCTGGGTCCAGGGGTGCTTTGGAGGATGAGAGAGCTGAGAGCTGGCCTGGATCTTGATGCCAAGGGTCCAGCCATGGATTGAGCTGGAAGAGAAGCCTGAACGGAGTCTAGAAATTCCTGGGCCCCAGTTCTCATCCTTTTTTCTTTATTCCCTCATCTACCCTAAGGAGATGCCATGGTGTCCTACCACAAATTTAATGACCCTCCAGTAAGCGAAGCCCTGCACTGAGCCCAGAACATGGACTGGGGTGCCCTAAAAGAGCTCCCAGGCCAGCAGGAGAGGCAGACAGCAGACCCCAACAGCCCTCACCGCTACATCTGTCTCTTTTACCCAGACCACCCCAGGAGTAGAAGTAGTGAGTTAAGTCAAGGAAAAGTGGGCCTAATAGTCCACTTGGTCCAAAGATGGCCTAGCTCCAGCCCTCCCCAGCAGCAGGTGCTGAACAAGCACCTCTGTGGTGAGGTCTTGCACACCCATCACCTAGGGCCCCTTTTCCTTCCTCCAGCTGGCAGCCTTGAGCCTTTTCTGATCCCCCAGGCACTTTCTTCCCAGAGCCCTTCCCACTGTGGGAAACTGTGATAAGGACTCAAATTTCACTGCTCCTACTCTCAGAGAAAGTAAGTATGAAAGTCTGGATAGCTAGGAAATTTGAGTATGTGCTCAGTAAATACTTGCTGGATAAATTGGGGCAGTTGTCATTTTCCACCCTAAAGACTAGAAGGACCCTAGGGCTCCTACATAGGATGTGTAGTAAGCAGGCCAGCAACTTGTAACGTGACGTGTGTGCCGAAGCATGTGCTTACGCCTTTTATGGAAGTAGACCATAATATTTCCCTCAGTCTTTCAAATAGGATAACTGGCCCAAATACACTTAAGGGCCTTGATTCAATCCCTACTCCATTTAAAGACAGGAAAATTGAATCCCAAATCACACAGGAAGTCGGTGGCTGAAGAATCTGAGCTGCCTGCATCCAGACTCATGGACCACTTGGAAACTGCAGCATCCTGCCACTCATTCCCAAAGCCCCAAATATCCTATAGGACTCTCAGCAAGACCACCCTTTCTCACAGCTTCACTCCCTGGGGACCAGGAGAAGATTCATGCAGCCTGCAAGTCTCTAGACCCCCAAGGATCCTGACCCCAGTTCCCTAGCTTTCAGAACCTGCATTTTTCAAACCTCTCTCTCTTCAGTGCGTGTACCCTCTCCCTCACTTCAGTTTGAATTAATAGCAGGTACAAAAGAGCAGCAACTTCACAGTTTCTGGAACACCAAATACAGATCAAAACATGCTTAGCCAAACCAGGCTTGAAGGAGACATTGCCTTGAGTGTGTTTATGTAAAGAGGGGGGAGGAAGGAATTTTGACAAAGTAAACTTTAAGCACAACAAAGAAGAAATTAATTTTTAAAAAGTAAAAGCAAGACAAACGTATGGAAAAGATGACTCAAAGAAAAAAATTAACAGATAACAAGGGGTGGGCATGTAGCTCAATTGGTAGAGTGCTTTTCTAGCACTCACAAAGCCCTGGGTTCAATTCCTGGCCCCACATGAGCTGGGCATTCAAGAGGTGGAGGCCGGAAAGGTCTTTCTCAGCTACATTGCAGTTTGAGACTACACGAGACCCTGTCTCAAAAACAAACAAGCAAAACCAGGGTAATGAGCCTGGCAGAGTGGAACATTCCTGTAATCCTAGCACTTGAGAAACAGAGTTTGGGAGCCAGCCTGAGCTCAAAATAAAAGAGGATAATGAAATGAAGCTTGCTCGTCCCCCAGTCCTAGAGATTGAGCCCAGGGCCTTCCCCCATGTTAAGTAAGGGTTCTACCACTTAACTATATCCCATCAAGGGCATTTTCCAAGACCAATAAAACAGACTTTTTTAGCAAGTGTGACCCATAAACAAACACAAAAATGTAAGAGAAGGTAAGCGGGAGCTGTCCATCCCAACATTTATTTCCTGTTACCTTTGAAAGCTGAAAGAGATGTACAGGACTGGTTTCCACCAGACTCGGTAGGTGGTTTCTTAGCAGACTGCTGAACCCCACCCAGAGTTCCTGACACAGGGGACCTCCCCAGGATCCAAGAATGCCATTTCTCACAAACTGCCCAGTGCTGCAGACCCGGCTGGTTCAGAACCACTGGCCATGACTTCCACTGACTTACTCCTCATCCCCGGCTGCCTAAATGCCCTCCTTTGTCCAAGGAAGAATAGAAGGGGGGCTGTGATCAGCAGCTCAGAGCTCTGGGTGACTGAGGACCTGGAGCCCTAGAGAGGTGAGACAGAGCCCTCACCCCTGCTGGGCACCAGGCTAATGCTCTCCATCGGACCAGCCCTTGAGCCTGGTACAAATAAAGACTGCTACACAAAGAAACTGAGGCACAAAGAGGCTCAAAGCTTCTGAGTAAACCGAGAGGTTCCTACACTTGCCCTGGAAGCAGTGCTGGCCATGCCAGCCACGTCCTGGTCATCTTGTTCCGAGGACCTTTGTGCTACAGCCTGTTGGGCATTTTCCCAGCTCCTGGAAGTGGCCAGGCCTGGAACCCAAGGCTAGGCAGGCAGGAACGGAGATGCAGTGCAGTGCGAACACCAGCCCTCACATCTGGACCCAAGTGATCTGAGCATCACTTCCCTCAGTTAAGGTCCTGTCCTCCCTGGGTGAGTGGGTAACTAGTGCCATCCCTGCCATGCAGAGTTCTCAAGGACAAGAGAGTCACCTCTGTCCTTAAAGGTACTATTATATAATCTGGAGTGTGACTGTCGGGAGTGGCATTTCTTACAGCCGCTTCCACTGCTGTTATCCCATTTTGCTCTCATGGCTACCCGGGGGTTAGCTACTCCCCTCTCTGTTTTACAAATAAAGTAATGAGGCTGGAGAAGGGAAGCAAGGAGCCCTGAAGTCCTCAGATCTCCAGCAGCAGGCCTGCATTAGAAGTGAGAGGCCCCCAGGGCCAGCACAATAGTATCTCCTATCTAAAGGTCCTTGTCTCGGGCCAGGGCATCCCACACTCCTAAACTCTCACTGTTTCCGGGCCTCCCTGCCCCAACCCAGCACAGTGGTTCTGCCAGGGCCAGCAAAGCTGCCCAATGTCACACAGCTGGTGGGTGACCTAACTGCCCACCAAGGCCTAGAGGAGTTACAAAGCCTGAGTCCTCTGGTTTGTTGAGAGCAATGAGACTGAGAATTTAAAAGCCCGCTGCCTCCTTCCTGTACTCTGATCCCATAGGCGAAGAAATACACCGATCCAAGACACCTCTGCAAAATAAAAACTACCCACAAAATGAACAGACCATAATAGAATACACCATCCATCACATTGGGCGTGGGGCTGGAAAGGGTGCTGACCGATTTTGCTGTCCTACCAAGTGCAGGGCTCGATGCTCTTAGCACTCTCGATATCTCTCTCACCGTGCACGAATGCTCTGCATGCTTTACCCCATTTTACAAATGAAAACCCAAAGCCTAAAATGATGGAGTCACTTAACTAGCTCAAGCTTACTCGGCTAGGAAGTGACCTGCCCAAATCTGCACACAACTTCTGACCAACTGCACAGAGATCGCTTGGGGTCTACACGCTCTGGGAACAGAGAAAGAGCCCTACGGGGAGGAAGTTCAGCGCTCTGAATTTACAGCCAAACGACTTTACGACCTGCGGCTAGGAAACGACTCTGGGTCTCACCTAGGCAAGGAGAAAGCCCCATATGGTGCTGGCCACGGAGCTGCCGGGATGATGTGGACAGTCCCGGAGGCGACAGCAGAACTTGGGGTGGTCAGCGCCTGGACTGAACTGGAGCTGGCAGGAGCTCGCTGCTCGAATTGCCTAAGAAAATGTCTCCATTTGCTCTAAATGGGAACTGCCCCCTCCTGTACCACTAGCGAACTGAGGTCCCCAAACCTGCTGACCCTCGGAGGGATCCCCAAGCTCTCGACCACAGCCTCGTCTATCCCACAACGAATTTTGAGGGTCCGGATCCCAGCTCCCCACCAAATGACCTCGGGTCCCTAGTCCAGCTGCTCCCGGCACGCGTGGGCACCTGCGAGTCACCGCTCAGTCCTCCTAGCTGGGGCCAGGGAGCGTCTCCAAAGTGGCCGCGACGCCTCGTTGGAAGCCTGGGAGGGGGCGAATTCTCCCCACGCGGGTGTCCTCGGTGGCGTGGAGAACGCTCCGGTGCTCTCCTTGATCCACGCGTGGACAGCTCCGAGCTTGCACCCCACGAAGCGACGCTTTCGTTGCTCCGGCGGAGGACGAGCGGCCCAGAGGCTTCCGCAGATTTCGTAGGACCGTTCTTGGGTTGCATCTCCATTGTAACTGAAGATTCATTTTGTTTGGGGTTTGCTCAGATGAAAAAATTTAGAAGACAACGAAAATCCCCGCGGCAAAAGCCATTTCCCTAGCAGCGCGCCTGCCGGCGGGTGAGGCGGCGGGAAGCGGCCGGGCCCGAAGTGGGGAGCGTCTGCTAATTGCAGCTTCGTTAGATTTCGGGTTTGAAAGGCTGCGGTTCGGGCGCTAATATCCGCCGCCCATTATCCCGGCTAATAAATTTGACCTATTGTTCGTTTGTTAAAATGATGTCACCTTGGAACAGTCCCTAAGCTCCTATTTCCATGAATTAGGCCTTTATTGAAAGCCGGGAGCCAATGAGAGGAGAGAGGCTTGTTGATCGCAGCCAATGGCTGCGGCGGGAGAGGAATTAGCAGCGGAAACTCCAGGTTCGGTTCAAGAAAGATGACACAGAGCCTGTCGGGCCCGCGCACTCTTGGCAAAGTTTCAGTGCGACTGGAGGCGCCGGGCGCTCCATGGCCGCGCCGTAACGGGGACCCAGCCGCCTCCCCGCCCAGCCCAGCCCAGCCCTTCCGCCCGCCCAGGATGGAGGCGCCCGCCAGCGCGCAGACCCCACACCCGCACGAGCCCATCAGCTTCGGCATCGACCAAATCCTCAACAGCCCGGACCAGGACAGCGCGCCCGCCCCGCGGGGCCCCGACGGCGCCAGCTACCTGGGAGGGCCCCCCGGGGGCCGTCCGGGCGCCGCGTACCCATCTCTGCCCGCCTCCTTTGCGGGCCTCGGCGCGCCCTTCGAGGACGCGGGATCTTACAGTGTCAACCTAAGCCTGGCCCCCGCTGGCGTGATCCGGGTGCCAGCGCACAGGCCGCTACCCGGGGCCGTGCCGCCGCCACTGCCCAGCGCGCTGCCCGCCATGCCCTCCGTGCCCACGGTCTCCAGCCTGGGCGGCCTCAATTTCCCCTGGATGGAGAGCAGCCGCCGCTTTGTGAAGGACCGCTTCACAGGTGAGCAGAGCGGGCCACCAGGAGCCAGGCCTCGGCCCTCTGGGGGCCAGGGGCGCCGCGCCCTGTGCACTCCACTCCCAGGAACGATTTCAGAGGCCCAGGCACGGTGGAGGCCTCGGCTCCCAGGGCTCGGGGCGGCCGTGGAGGGGAGGGTAAATCGGAGAGTTGCGGGAAAAAGAAACCAGCGTCCCCGGGAAGGGAAGGGTGTCCCTGCCTGGCTTGGTGCCGCCTGGGACACGCGGGACGAGCGAAATAGCGGAGCACTGTGTCCCACGGGGCTCCACGTGCGGCCTGAACGGTGGTGGGGCTGGGCTTCAAGGGGCCTCATGTGTCTCTGCAGCGGCGGCCGCGCTCACGCCCTTCACCGTGACCCGGCGCATTGGCCACCCCTACCAGAACCGGACGCCGCCCAAGCGTAAGAAGCCGCGCACGTCCTTTTCCCGGGTGCAGATCTGTGAGCTGGAAAAGCGCTTCCATCGCCAAAAGTACCTGGCCTCGGCCGAGAGGGCGGCGCTCGCAAAGTCCCTCAAAATGACAGACGCGCAGGTCAAGACCTGGTTCCAAAACCGGAGGACCAAGTGGCGGTGAGAGAGGCCCGGCCCTGCCCTTCACCTGCCCCGCCCTGCGCCGCAGCCCAGCATCCTGCCCTCTCCTGTGCTACCCCCTGCCCGCGCTCCCTGGACCACGCATCTCCCTTCTTTTCCAGACTTGTTGTCCTTCCTTCCCACCGACCTGTATTCCTCTCTCCTTCATCTCCCATGCCTCGGCGTCTACATTTCCAGCCCCATCTCGCCAGTGTTTTGTCTCGCCTCTTTTGCTCATTTGGGTTCCTCCCACCTGCCCCCCACCACACACATCCCGGGCCTCCCACACTCTCCTCCCTCTCCCGATCCAGCCCACCCACTCGGATTTCGGATTGATAGCCAGGGCGGTAGGGTCCTCACTCCAACTCTGTTTCTTTGCTTTTTGTTTTTATATGCGAGCCTTGCTTCCATCCAACCCGTAAACGACGAAGCGATGTGTCCTTAGAGAGGGCTTCAAGACAGTGCCTGGGAGAATCTTATCAGACTGACCCCATCCGGGGCCGCCCAGCTGGTGGTGCACAGCCAGCCAGTCCACCCGTGGGCCCAAGTGACCCCACTGGCCGCAGGGCCGAGTCAGTTATACATTGCCCTGCCGTTGTTATCCCGCAGGGGGTAACAAAACACACAAAAAAACAAGATTTATTGTTGGCGAAGCCACAAAATCCGGGTGTGCAGGTGGACAGCGGGCAGAGTGCCCTCCCAGCGCCCCCGGGGTGCACAAACAAAACCCAGCGGTCCCACCCGCCCTTCCGCCCCGCGGGCCTCCGGGAAAGTGTGTGCGGGCGGCGGGCGGCTCCTCGCCTCGAGGGGCTAAGCTGCCCCGTTCCCGGGAGGGCTGGGGCCCGCTGGTGGCCTAGCAATGCCCAGCGCGTGACGGTGCTGTCCCTCTCCCTCCCTGGGTGCAGGCGGCAGACGGCAGAGGAGCGGGAGGCGGAGCGGCAGCAGGCGAGCCGGCTCATGCTGCAGCTGCAACACGACGCCTTCCAGAAGAGTCTCAACGACTCCATCCAGCCCGACCCACTCTGTCTGCACAACTCTTCGCTCTTTGCTCTACAGAATCTGCAGCCCTGGGAGGAGGACAGTTCCAAGGTCCCTGCTGTCACCTCGCTGGTGTGAGCCGCCAGCGCGCACCGTAGCTACGGATCGCCGCCCCCACCAGGCGGGGCGCCCGGGTCCCCCAGCCGGGCTGGGGAGGGAAGCTGGGCCGAGAGGGGCAGGGCGGCCCGGCTCGCGTGGGCCCTGGGGCGCGCCGCACAGCGCCGGCCGCGGAGGGGGGCTGGGCCCGGGTCCGCGCGGCTGCACAATCCGAGCCCCCGCCCCGCGCCCCGTCCCGCCCCAGGCCCGGGCCTGACAAAGAAGCGCCTTACGTTACTCCGCCCCGCGCCCGCACCCCCGGGCTGGGCGCCTGTATTATACTTTGTACTTTTGCCCAAACGTGTAAATAATAAAAGTTTTGGCTTTTTTCTTTAGAAACCGGCCACCTGCTTCCCCTGCGGGGCCGCTGGAGGAGGGGCAGCCGGCCCGGCGACCGGGGGAAGCGCCCGGGGGCCGGGGGCACCCTGCGTTTAGGCTGGGGTGTACGCCTCTCCTTTTCCGTTCCTTTTATTTAAGTCGTTTTATTTAATAAAAAGTTAGCTATTTCACTTAATGCCGCTTTTATTTCGTTTTCGTTCCTCGAACGCTCGGCGACCCCGGCCCTTGCGCCCCACCCCTATGGCGATCGCAGCCGGTGTGCGCGGGCGCGTCCAGGTCTGCGAGCTACACTGGCTTCGCCCCAGCCCGAACCCCGGCCCGGGGCCCTGCGGAGGATGCGCCGTGCAGGTCAGTTTCAGAAGCCGGTTGCGGGATGGGGAGTGGACCTGGGATCCAGCACCGCGCTGCTGGGAAGGCAAAGTTCCGGCCTGAGCGGGTTCTGAGGCGTCGCAGGTCGAATCCACCTAGTGGGTGGGAGAAAGAGGAAACGCTGGACACTCTCATACCCAGCTTTGGGCTCTTTCCATAGCCGGGCGCCACTCGTGGACCCGGCTCTGAGGGATCTGGGCACCCTGCGAGCACAGGGCCCGGACACGGTCCGAGCTTCTAATGCCTGGGATTTTCGCAAGATCCCAGGTGGAGCATGACGTTATACGACGTCACAACGATCTTTCACTGCATCACTTAACACGAGGGACCCGGGGTGCCCCAGCTCCCAGAACCCTAAGCCTGAGTGTAGCAGCAGCCTGGCGTTGTCCTCTCAAATTTCCAATGGCTGAACTTTGGAAGTTTCTAGATTGCGAGATCCAGAGCGAAGGGCCCCTGCCAACCACGATAAACATGCACCCCGTCCCTTGATTTTTTTTTTGCCCCTTTATAATTCTTGTGGTCTTTTAAAAACATTTTTTTTAATATTTTCCGGTCTCTCCATTCTTTCTCTACCATATTGTCCGTTCTCTCGTTTATCCCTCGTGCTCTCCGCACTCTGTTGTGTGTGTATGCCGTTGTTGCCGTGGTTTCTCTACGGTTTCACGCTTCTCTTTCCAGTTTGTCCTTTGTTGCCTTTAATTTCTCCGAGCGCATTTCTTGTTCGTGGCCACTCTTCCTCCCGATTCTACTCGGATCCCTTCTCCGCCTTTTCTCTTGTCTTTTTGGTGTCCCTTCCTGCTTTCTCAGAATCTCTTCGCGTCCATTTCAGTCTTTGTCTCTTTTTCCTGTTTTAGTCTTCCCTTCCTCCCTCCTCCAGACTCCGCTCCCGGTAGCTCCCAGCAGCTAAACACTTTGGGGGGGGGGGTGTCCTCCTTCTACCCCAGCAGTCCCACCCCACCCCGCTGTGTCTCTCAGAGCCAAGCACCACCCTGCGGGCTGTGGCACTGGGGAGTCTTCGTTATAAGCGGGCTGAGGAGTTGACAGCCCTTACGAGGCTAAGGGAGCGAACACCGGACTAAGAAGACGCCCCTATCCCAGCTCCTGCCCTCGCTCGTACCTCCAAGCCCTTCTAACCCTAAGTCTGCTCCTCTTGGGACTTAACAGACACCACCGGGGGAGGAATTAGGGTAACTCAGACTTCGGGTCTCCTCCCGAGACGTTTTCTTGAAATGCTCTCATTTACTCCGCTGAAAAGCTTTTGAGGAGCGTGCTCGGGTGGTGGGAAAGATTGGCCCTTGGGCTGGGGAGGAGGCCCTTCTTTGCCAGGCCATCGGCTCCTCCCTCAGGGCTGGCGTCTCTGTCTGGTTCCTCCAGGATTTCCTCTACTGCGCTGTAATAAGGCCTACCGTTTTTACTTTTCTAAATTATGTGTATTGTTTTGACAGGGTCAGCCTCGATTCTTAAACCTCTGGGGGCACACACGTTGTCTTTTTCTTCCTTGCAAGCTCTCCGTCTTGCACAAAGGGCTCTGGTTAAGTAGCCCAAGGATCAGGTCCGGGACTGGGGTTCCCACACTCGTGGCCTTAGCCAGTTCGCGGCCTCTGAGTCATTTGCCCCAGCTAAGCCTTGCTGAACTAGATGTCGGCTACCAGTCTGATTGAGTTAGGAGACTAAGCCAGATCCCACGCGTGTGGGCTCCGGCGGCGACCATCTCTTATCCAGCTCACCCAGAGCAGGGTGGGCGCCCCCAGCGGGTGGGAGCGATTGCTGAGCCGCAAGTGAGTGTGGCGCCTTCCACTCACGACCTGCCAAGCCCTAAACCTTCCTTTCTACTATTGTTGTGCGGGGTGAGAGGCGGGATGAGAGGCGGAGGCGCGCCGTTGAGGGACAATGCTCTCGGTCTCCCCACTGGGAGGACCGTGGGTTAGGGTCGGAACCACGACAAGGGTCAGGCAAGCTTAGAGGTTGAGCTGAAGGGCTCGTGCTTAGCGGTGCTCCCTCAGCCTTAGGCTGGGCGGAGGCTCCCGTCGCCAACCGGTGAGTGCTGCACCAGGGGCGCAGGCCCAGCGGCTGCACAGCGGGAAGCCGCCAACGGCTGCGCCGCTTGAAGCCTCTTGACCCTTCTCAGTGACCTTGCTCGTTGCACCCATTTTGCAGATCTGAGATTGCCTGGCTGGCTGAACCACTGGGTAGCGCAGGATCGCCCTGCGCGGGGTTTCGAGGCAGCACCTAGTGCCCACCTGGGGAAGGCCGCAACCAAAGCACCCAGGGCCAGGGACAAGGCCTCCAGGACGCAGCCTGGAGCTAGGTTTCTCAGCTTGTGCAGTGTGGGATTGAGGGACGCAAGGCCACTCCGCCCCATCAGAGCCCTGCGGAGGGAGCAAGGAAAACTCCCGGGTTAGTCGCCCGCGCCTGCACGAGAAAAGGAGGCCCGGCAGACCGAGCTTGGTCACGGTGGGCTTTACCAGGGCATGCACGCCCTCGAGGTGTGGATACTCTCCCCAGTTTGCAGATGAAAACACAGAGAAGTTCCGAGGTTAGCTCTAGCTGGTGTAGCCGCGACGCCTGGACATTCTTGCCCGGCAGCAACCGCTCTGCCCAGTGCTTGGCCTATGGAGACTGGAAAGGGCATGGAGCTTAACCTTAAGGGCGGGAAGGTGGTCTAGTGCAGCCACCCTGACGAGAGGTCCCCAGGTCTCAGTGAGGCTGAAGGGCCTTCCCACTCGCACTTGAGCGATGAACAACAGGGTCTGGGAGTTGAAAGGGCGCCCAGTGTCTCCGGCCTCCCAGCCGTGCCTGCCCAGCCATTGTCGCCATGCATGCACAAGTGGGGAAGCCACCCCAGGGTGATAGATCCAGCGACCGCCCCAAGCCCGGCAGCCAGAGCGTGAAGCAGGCCAAGCACAGGCCGCTTCCCCGCGCCAAGTGCCCCCCCCCACCCCACCCAGAAGGCTACCGCACCCGCCTCAGGGACGGCCAGACCTGGAGCCCAGGTTTAGAAGTCACAGAGTGTGACCTCCCAACTACCCCTCCACTCCCACGCGCGCAGAGACCGGCAAGCAGAGCAGGGCCTAAATTACAGCCATGTCACAATGTCACACAGAAGGTTCCTGGGAACCTTCCCCCCAAATCCTGATCTCAGCCTGGGCACAACTAAAGCCGAGGCCCGGAGGAGACGAGCATTTGGTGAATGCGCCTGCATTCCGCACAGGGAGCGTTTCCGAAGGTCGCGGCCGTTTTCCTGGTGCGAAATCCACGCGCCCCCGCTTTTTCAAGCCGCGATCGGCGACCAAGGTCCCAGCCCGGGCCTCGCTGTCTGAACGCAGTCGTTCCTAGTGGAATCCATCTCTGTTCGCACCTTCCATTGAGACACACCCAGGCGAGGGGAAGCAGGGTTCTCCTGTCCCGTTCTGGGTGGCGCTGAGTGAGTGATTTCTACGCTCAGCGCCTGGTTTACTGATTTGGTTAAAAAACAGACGGCGAAGACTGTTCAAGAAAAACAACCACAACCATAGCTTACGGTACGGTACAGCCGTTCATAAATTTATCGCAAAAATAAAGGCGTTGAAAAATGCTTTCCGTACAAAACAGTCTAACTGAACGTCTACGAATGGCACAGGGGCTTAATCACGGTGTTGCTTGTGGAGGAAAGGGCAGGCACGGAACAGCGTCCTCCCTGGCTGGCGACACTGGTGGGCATCTCAGACCTGGACAGGAGCAGGTTTGTCAGTATCCTGACATTGCGCATGACGGTGCCTCGGTGACTGTACTTGTCCTGCACTTGAGCTGAAACGAATGTTCGCTTGTCAGACAGGCTACCGGGTAGGGAAGTCGTTATTAAACCCCTTCGGTATGCTCCCGGGCAGTGTGGGGAGGAAGTAGATAGGGGAAAGAAAATACACGTATTCGAGCTTTTTTTTTTTTCCTTCCCACCATCCACCCTCCTATCTCTAGAGCAGTCTTGGGTTCCAGTTCTACCAGTGGGGAGCTGAGCTGACAGATAGAGAAGGCAGGGGACCAGAGAACCTCGCTCTGACCCCTTAACTGTCTGGACTACAGTGGCGCTTTGTGCCCCTCGGCCCCCCCACCACCTCGTGCTGGCCTTGGAGTCTGAACCACTGCTGCGTCCCTCACCACCAGAAATCGTAGCTGGGAAAGCTCCTCCGCAGTGGGGTCACTAGACAGGTTTGTGCTGATACACACTCCCCTGATTTTGAGAAGCCAAATTTTCACGTAGCGTGAAAGAAAGTCTTTGGTTGGCTTTAACAGCTTGC